TATATATATATAATAAATGCTGCATGCTAGCTGAATATTCTTCTAAAATCTTGTCAGAACTTGATATGATAAGCATATGAGCATGAATGAAGCAATTAAAAGTAAGTAGCAAGGTCAAGTTATAATGACATGCAGGGTTATATTTTTGGAGCATGTTTTCCAGAAAGGCATTTTCCAGAGTATCATCAGGAAATGCTGGGTCATTCAAATACAATATAAACATCTGGAAAATATAGATCATGATGGAAATTTATGCACAGACTGGACTTAAAATATGCACCTATATTGCTATCTGTGCCTTGAACCAAATTCCTAAACTCTCCCCATACTATCATACAGTAGGAAGACACCAGCATCAGCTACAGATCTGAAGTGTCTACCCTCTACAAAGACTCATCTTGAGGGACTTCCTGAACAACACATTATATTCTCCTCATTTGTTTGCTATATGGAAAGGTAAGATAATTTCAAATGGTAGTGACCTGCAGGTAAGAAAAGCTCGTGCCTGGAGAACACTCTGGGGAAGTACCAGCCCTATCCATCTGCTAGGGATTACAGGCAGCTGTTGGAGACGTGTCATAAAGCTGAAGCAGTATTTCTCTTGACTTTATACAGCTTGTCTTTTGTTAGTCTGGGGACAATAACGTATTTTTACAGAGAGAAAGAAAGATATAGATATGTATGTGTGTATGTGTGGTTGGGAGGGTGGTTTTTGTTTTGTTATGTTTTGGTTTTTGATTTGGTTTCCTTTTTTTTTTTACATAGGCTTTTCAAATGTTGCCTATATTGAAAAAAAAAAACTTCAAAATGCAGCATCTCATGACTTCCATAAGAAAGAAGGAGCTATAAAAACCTGAAAACCTTCATAAAAAGCCCTAAAACCCCCTCACACTCATTTTCAAATCAACCCTAGGCAACAGGAAACATCCAATTCATCTACCTGCTGCGTTATGTTTATGATACTCAATTATTTCTGGAATGGAGTTAAAGAGATGTTTTTCTGCGAGGTAGTACTGCTTTGGTGACGTCACTGTTTCTTTTATATGGTAGTGTCTTATTCCTGATGAACCTTCTCTGGAAAAATAACAACAATAATAACAATTAGTAATAATACAGTATCTTCTGTTGTGATTTTTTTAAGAGGTGCTCATTGACTAGGAAACTGAAACAGCCAGAGCAGGTGCCCAGTGTCACATGCTTCTCAAACAGCTTGAATATCAAAGATCCCAAGTGATGGTGACTCACCATCACCTCAGTGCTCAGAACAAGTTGAAGATTAACCCATAAAAGGTTAATTTTCAGCCCAGTATGCTCCTCCAGTGCAGCTCACTGCACACCAACAAAAAACACTTGGACTGGCAGGAAGGAAGCGACTGAGCAGGGTGGAAGAGCAAGACCACCTTCTTTCAGTGGAGGGTTAGGTCTACATTGGAGTAAACCAAATGTGACCTAACTGTGGACTCAAGAAGCTCATTTTAGTCACCTGTCTCTTCTATCACAGCAGCCCTCATTTCTGTATTGAGTTCTGTCCTGGCCTTTTCCCCAGCCCATGGGTTTGGATACAGATGTGAATGCGTTCAGAGCAGCCACAGAAACTCACCCTCCAAATTTTGTATAAAGGGAAACTGTATACAGGCCAGGCTGACTTGAATCTCTCACCACAAAACCACCTTCTTTATCCTAAAATGCAAACACATTGACAGTTTTGTGCAAGGAGTTTTAAGCTACATATCTCTTCCACTCGGTTCTGTAATTTGCACATGCCAAAATACACATTTGCTTTAATAAAAGAAGCCATTTTACACACGTCATGGTTAATGCTGCAAGGCTGCTGTGCTCACCTCGTTTCTGAGGAGCTGCTCTGCCTTGCTTCTGTTCAGGTTCCTGCTGTACCACCTGCAACACAACAGAAATAACCAAAACTTATCCAAGGTCCATGATTTACGTAAAATGCTTAAAGCGAAGCATTGCACAGCTGCAGATTCAATAATGTTATGATAAGTCAAGAACTGAACCTTTGTTAATGTATAAAAAAATAGGTGGTGGGGGGGGAATCAGTCTCTATTACATTGTGCAGTTATCCCATAAAAATGCCCTGAAACAAACGCAGTGAGACTCTACAGAAGCAAACAAAGTTCAGGTAATTGAACTTATTTTACACAAAAATGCTTCTGAAATGCATGCAGGCTGCTGATGGTAGTTTCTCTGAACGGCAGCCCCCAGGAAGCAGCTGCTGGCACAGGGGTTGACACCTGCCTGTGGAGCTGGCTGCCAGACTGCTCCCTCATTCAACAACTTCATGGTTCTGATTTTCCAGGGAGGACCCAGCTACCAAAGGGGAAGCTGAAAGTGAATTGAATGTCATGGTTGCACATCCCCAAGTTCTGTGCTGCACGGGGAGGTTAAAACAGCCACAGAAGCACTGACATTTCAGCCAGCTGCGGTGAACAACATAAAAAGGAAAAACACACAGCTTGCAAATAGCATGGTGAGCCATGCTGCCACAGCAGTAACCCAGCAGGGAAGTGGTACAGTAGCCTCTTACAAAGTTCTGCTGTTTCAGAGATAGTGGTTTCCTTGCAGTTGGTAGATGACATGGAATAATCCTCCCTGGACTGCACAGTGACTCAGAATTACAACCCAAAGGTTGTCAGGCACAAAGTGCCTGGACCAGATAAGGCAGCCCAGTTCCTTCCTTCTGCTTCTGCCAGCTTCATAGCCCAGAGCAGGGCAGGGCTCTCAGCAAGAGCCTCAAAGATGAGAAAGCAACAAAGAACAAGTCATTCCCTCTAGTAAAGCTGAGGGCAAAATCCCAGAAGAAATTTTACCTTCTGTCAAAACACAGCAATAGGAGCCATACATGGCCGAGAGTAGAGTTTTGGAACTACTAATATGGTTTCATAAACTGGTTTTAATTATTACTTCCTTACAGCTCCATTTTATCTAAAAGTAATGAAATATATCTTAAGTTCTCAGGTACAGTTTGTGCTGTACTGAAATTTGAATATCAAGCGTAACAGGCTTGAAGACTACAGTGTCAAATTTTGTCCCAATGTTCTTAATAAGTACTTCATAATTAAACATCAACTAGAAGAAAAACCAAAACTATTATAGTTGATAAGTTACATGCACACACGGAGACTTAAAATGTACTGAGTGATATATTTTCTTGAAATGTATTATTTTCTTCTGATCTGTTGTTTACTTTGAATTACTTCCACTGTTTTCTGCTCTTAACATCCAGATTTTTGGATAGACATGTCACTTTAATATTAAAAAAACCCAACATTCTGCACACTTATAGTGGGTAAATTTCCTTTAAAGTTTCCCTTTGTCTATCAGAGAACTGGGAGGGTTTTTTTCTGCTTCAGTAGTAATACCCTAAAAAGTATACTGCTGATGGCCACCTCACTGACTTGACTCTACATTATAAATCACATCAAAATCACTGCTGACAATCAGAAAAATTACATGCCTATTTATAATATTTACACTTCTTCCTAAGAAAGAGAAATGTATTCTTCATTTCTGAGATCAATGCTATCACAAATAACTGCTTTCAAAACCTTAAAAATACATGGTCATTCTTAAAGCATAGGTTTCATTTTATGATCTTCCAGATTTTAATTCCAATATTCACTTACTCATATTGATCAAGGTTGTTGGACTTCTTTCCTGTTACATAGTTGCTTGGAATATATCCTTGCTTTCTAAAAAAAAAAAAAAAAAATTAAAAAATATTATACATAATATATACCTATAACTCGAGTGAAAACATAAAATTTCAGGCCTAGAAGACAGCATTTAATTCTGCTAATTATCAGAGATCTCTTCTCATAAGTTATTTATTTATTACTGCCTCTCTGATTTTTACTCCACCACCAATTACAACATTTCTACATGAACTTTCACTGCACCTAGAGAAGTGACACAGGAAGCAAAAGCATCCAAGAAAACCAGCAGAAGGGATGAAGAAGAGTAACTGTCTGCTGCTCTGTCACTTCTGCTCTCAGAGGTCCCAGAGTCAGTCACTGGAAATATGTTTGGAGCCTGCCATAGCTCAGTAACTCACAATTACTGCTAACATCCTGCAACAGTGATCTGACAAATATTGAAGTATGGAAACTTTCGCCTTTAAAACCACAGGGAAAAAAAAATAATTCAGGGAACATAAAGTTGTAGTCATTACAGCCTCTCACTGTAAATCTCAGTTCATTCAAAGATAGCCCCTAATGATACAGTTATTAAAGTAAGACGATGTTTATTCAAGTCTAGAAGTCAGAGCCTGCTG